GTTATTGGGGTTAGAAGAAAAAAAAACACATATATACCTTCGAGGATGCACTCTCCGTCTTCCATGAGGGAACATTTCACCCGCGGTATCGGCATCAGATCGAACCATCGTGCATACCACCTACCATCCTCCTAAAAAAGATAAAATTGAGCGGAAAAAACGAAGCGGTGCAACGGTGGTTCATATTTTATGAACTACACACGCTGTTTCGTTTCATGAACCATGTAAATCTCCATGCAGTGCTTCCACAGAGAACGCTCGATATTCATTTACTTTCGCACAAAATGCTAGTTCATGTTTTCTGCTAGAATAACAGAGAATTTTGATTAAACTCAAGCATAATGTGCAGATACACTTGATTTCTGTTAGAACAATTGGGAATTTTGATTAAATCTAAGCATAATATGCAAGAAAAGGTATGCAAAAGAGGACAAACCTCAAGCCGTGCATTGAATTTACACCATCTTCCAACAGCTGGCAACAGGGTTCTGCTGCTAAACCTTGTTTTTGCATCGACGAATACTTCACCAATCAATGGGCAATAGATCATCTCCACACCACTCCGTCCACATTGGTAAATGAATCCGTCCAAATCCATCTTTTTTTTTTACCCTGAAATTCGAAAAAACCCCTTGAAATCCACTTTTTTTTTAAGATTTGGATTTCTCGCGCCATAAAATTCCTTACGACCCAAAACCAGAAAAGCTCTTGTAATTCGAGAAAAAAACCCTCTCGAAAAATACGCGTTTTTGCACTGCATAAATACAAAAAAAGCATAAAAACTCTAGCAACTTCATGGCCTTCTCATCTACCAGAAGGAATCGGATTTCTCGCATCATGAAATCCCTCAAAAAAAATCACCGGAAGAGTTCTACTTTAACAAATTCATGGTTTTCCCATCTATCAGTAAGATTCGGATTTCTCGTGCCATGAAATTCTTTACGACCCCAAACCAGAAAAGTTCTTGTAACTCATTACTGGGGGGATTTTCTTAAAGCAAATAACTGTATTTCTTTGAAAAATTCGCAGATCTGATGAGATTTTTCGAAAATAACAGTTCGAAAACGAAAAGCCTTTCCAAAACAGCACAGATTGTAACAACTAGGTAGACCCTGAAAGACTAACTGGTGAGAAAGCTCGTCATTTTTATGGTTTTCTGGCTTTTTGCATCATCACAGATTGTTTGTGCTGGGACTTTGTCTATTTTTATTGGGTATTCAGAATTTTAGCGAAATTTTTCATCGATCCTGTATTTTTTTATTTGAGCACTTTCATTATTTTCTCTTGTTTTTACAGTTCTTTTCTTTTCTTTTTTTTTTTTTTTTTTTTTTTTTTTGGGGGGGGGG